TTTGGGCAACAAGAGCAAAGTAGGAGGCATAACAATATTTGAGCTATATCAAGCTATATTAAAAATAGCATGGTACTGAAATAGATATGTGAATCAATGGGACAGAATAGATGATACAGAAATATCCCTAGACACATTTAGCCCTTTGGTCTTTGGCAAAGGAGCCAAGGCATATGTTGGAGGAAAGATAGCCTATTCAAGAAGTGGTACTGGGGGAACTGGTCATCTGTTTGCAGAAGACTGAACTGGACCCTATCTCTCACCATACTCTAAATTAAAATAAAAATGGAAGATAAAATAAGAGAAACATTTAAAGACATAGCTATAGGAAAGAATTTTCTAAACAGAGCTTCACTTGCACAAGAAATAGCAGCAAGAATCAACAGATGGGATTACATCAGACTAAAAAGCTTCTGTGGAGCAAAAGAATCCATCAGTAAGGAGACAGCCTGCAGAATGGGAAATCTTTTTGCCAGCTACTCCACGGATAGAGGACTGATATCTAGCATATACAAAGAACTAAAAGAATTAAACTACATAAATTTTAAAACTCAGTCAAAAAATGGGCAAACGAAGTGAAAAAATGTTCAACATCTCTAGCCCCTAGAGAAATGCAAATGAAAGCAACACTAAAATCCCATCTTACTCTGGAAAGGATGGCAATCATTAAGAAATCAAGCAATAATAAATACTGGTGTGGCTGTGGTAAAAAAGAAACACCCTTTGTTGTTGATGGGAATGTAAATTAGCACAACCATAAGGGAAATCAGTATGGAGATTTTTCAAAGAACTGAAATAAGAAATTCCATACAACCCAGTGATCTCCTGCTAGGTATATTCCTCAGAGAGCTTAAAACACCACATACCAACATTTATGGCAGCACAATTCCTAATAGCTAAATCTTGGAAGCAGGCTGTATATCCACTAACAGATGATTGAATAAAGAAAATGTGGTATCTATATGTAATCAAATACTACTTGGCTATCAAGAATTACAAATTTGAGACATTTGTAGGAAAACGGATGCACCTGGAAAATATAATGTTGAGTGCCATAAACGAGATACACAAGCTTACATACCATATGGCATCTCTGATTTGCGTGAGGCAAAGTACAAAGAGAATAATAACATGATAGAAGCGGGGAAGTGGATGGATCTCTTGCAATCAGGAAGTGGTCCAAGGGAACAAGCAAGGGGTGAGGAGGGGAAGAGGCATTGAGTAGAATAAAAATGTCCCCCACACAGGAGCCTAATAACCTCAATGTACATAAACGCTATATGCCATACTATGAAGTAAGGTTATTAATATCAATGAGAATGAAAATTTGGATAGCTATTGGAGGAATAAAAGAAGGAGGAGGGAAGTGGTACGGGATTAAACGAAAGAAGCAAGCTGTAGTAGTACATGCACACCCATTCCCCAAGATGATTGTAAACTGCCTGAACTGCAAACATGTACCAATAAAAAAAGCTTAAAATATATAAATAAGTATCTGGAAGGTAGGAGTAGCCCAATTTCATGAATCAAAAGCTTAGGGTAAATTGTAAATTTTAAACAATGTTTTATCTTACCTTTATGGTATCAACAATAGAAAATATTCCTGAGAATTACTCTAGAGCACAAGGATGCTTCCACCAAAATATAACACTGAAAGTTTATCACCAGAAGTCTAATTTTGTTAAAAAGCCTGACTTAGATAAACAGTCACAATAAGGAGTTAAGAAACAGTTAATGGGGCAATTAGGGTCATTGGTAAAATATAATTGCTGTTGCAATAGGCATCCTAGCTTATAGTACTTTTGTATTCATTCATAATAAAAGGAGGACCCAACAATAGGCTATTTACTAGAAACTCACCTCCTATGAGACTTATAAAGACTGAAAGAGAAATAATGGAAAATGATGTTTGAAGCAAATGGAATTACAATGCAAGCAGGAGTGACTATATTTGCATTCAATAAAATAGAGAACCAAGATGGTGGAGTGTTAGTCATTAGCAAAATCCAGCCTCTCCAGGACCAAGAACCCACACACCTGGAGAGCAACAACTTAGCAAAAAGAAATTTAAAGAGTAGATCTCTTCAAATTGGGAGAGAACTGAAGGAAAATTAGAAGATACAGAGAAATTGGGGAAATAGGATACAGTGCAAACAAAAGAATGAAGTAGACTGGAAGCTTACCCCAGCTCACAGGGAGGGGAAACTGTACCCATAAACACAAGGCAAGCCCCCAATTTCGGGAGCTGTGGGGAGAAACAACGGGCCAAGGCAGCAGTGACAGCCCCGAAGGTGACTCCTTCCACATAGCAGGCAACTGTTAGAGTAGGTATTTAGTACATGCTCACCGTATTGTGCGAAAGTGTTTAACAAGGCAAATTTTTGAGAGGGGTTGATTATTTAAGACTGAGCCTCTGAAGGCCTAGGGCTTTCCAACATTACTGTCCCACAGTGACTGAAAGAGAGACAGCTATGTGAGACAGTCCTGGAGAGGGTGCAGGGTAGGCACAGACCTCCTGAGAAGTTTACACTCGTGCTGGGAAGAACATGGAGAAGCCATGTTCTTCTTGGTGAGAAGCCAATGTGTGTGGCTTTCAGAGGCAGCACCCTGACATTAAGTGCAGTGGTACTTGCCCTGCTGCCTACATCCAGCACAGATCAGAGATCTGAATGTTTTTTTCATTAACCAACATCTACACCTGGGATTGGATGGTTGCCAAAGCCAGGGTTGAATGGTGTTATGGTTTGTGTCTGTGTGTTCCCCCAAAGCCTCATGAGGTCATGGGGCAGGCTTTCAGAGTTTGATTGATTATGGGTGTGAGAGCTACACCCGCCCTGGGGTGGATAGTTTGCATATGTAAGGGAGAGGAAGAGGCTGCTTGCGGCCATTCCTCCCTTTTGTGCTTGTTGCTTTTGCTGTGTTGTGCCACCTTGAATGGTTGCCCTCTGCCATGTGCCACCCTTGTAGCCAGCTGAGTACGGACTGAAACCGTCACAAACTGTAAGTTAAATAAACCTTTCCTTCCTAAATTTTGGGAGTTGGATATTTTGTCCCAGCAACGAGAGAAAAGTAACCAAGACAAATGGGCAGAGGGGTCTGTGGAACAGGAGTGCACCTTACAGAGCCACAGATCATAAAGCTAGGTGAAAAAAACTATGACTTGCTGGATTCTAAAACTGGAGGTCCTGGAAAGAAACCACTCATTCTTAAATATAGTGGGGAAAAAAAATTGGATACATTTTCTTTCTTTTTCTGTTTTTGCTTTCTTCTTCACTGATTTTTAGGGGTTTGGGTATTTTCCTTTTTCATTTTCTTCTCTTTCTCATTTTTCTCCTTTTCTTGACTATTCCTTTGTGTGACCTTTATTTTGTTTTATTCATTTTCTTTCACTCCTTAATAGGATTCCTTATCTCACTTTGCTCTCCTCCTTCTAATTTGCATTGCTTAATTTTTCAAAAATTTCTTTCATTCTATGCTGTGCATTTATGTTTTGCTTCTTTTTCTTTATCTCTGCTAGATTTTTATCAGTGACTTCTTTACACTTGCTGATCATCCGTTTCATTAGGGTCATTATCTGATGAGTTATATCTTCTTTGAATTTGCCAAGCACCTTATTAACTATTTTATCTTCATTGATACCCCTTCAGACCTTTCTGCTGTGTGGCTTATTATTTCCTTCCGTTCAATACCTCCTCTACTGGTTTGGGGGGAATTAGGAGTTTTTGGAGGCATTTGGTTGCTTTGTCTTTTCATGTTTCTATATTTCTGTTTGTTTGATTTTTGTGTTGGGGTTTACCACTATAAAATAGGGAAGTGGGAACAGAAACCTCTTGACTGGTCTCTACCTTTTGGTGTTTTCAAATCTTCATCTTTTTCAAAATAAGTCTTAATTTAGGGAGAGAAGCTAGCCCCTAATATTTGCAAGACCTTATAAGAAGAATATTTTATCTATCATGTGAGTGTCAGAAAAGGTTTCTGAAATATTACGATCCCTAAACTCTACAACTTAAAAAAATTTGAAAATTTCCAGGACAATCATTTGACAAGGGCACACAAATATAGTGTAAGTAAGAACATAAGCATAAGTAAGACTTTTTAGGTTCCAGATATGAAAAATATGATAGCCACACCTAGTGTAAGAAGTCTTCGGAAACCAGAAGTAGGTGATATAACTTCTTAAAGCATCTAGACCTATCATTGATCTGGAACAAAATTTTAGATAAATCACTCTGGCAGCTCAGTGCACAAAGTGTATTACAAAAAACTAAACTAAACTGAACTAAATTAAACTAACCTATAGAGACCATTCACATTGCCATTACAGTGATATATACTAAAGATGGCAGGGATTTGAAAGACATTCAGTCGTCATAGAAGAACAGAATTTGAGTATAAATTGAAGAAATATATGTGAGGCCTTTAAGAGAATATTGAGAATAAGAGAGTGGATAACAGGGAGGATGATAGTGTAGTTTGGATACGTAGGTGGCAAGTGGTCATCACTGAACAGAAAATGTAGAAAAATTGATCTGGTATGAAAGATAGTGAATTTAGATTTTAAAATGTTGGGATTGCATCCCGAAGTGATCATTCTAGTGGTTAGCTCAAACCGCCATACAGATGCACAAGTTTAAAGCTCAGAGTAGAGGCTGGAATAGAGACGCAGACTTGGAAGTCCATGGGCAAAAAGTGAAAGTGCTGAAGGGACTGGTGGAGGAATATTATTTGCTGAGGTTATATTTACTTTTGACTCTTCCATATTATTCCCTCACATTTACTTTGTTCCCTAACCATTTTGAGGTCATGCTGTGAGGAAGTAGTCCTAGTTTTACTGTAAGATATGCCTTATCTCCTTTAAGAAGAGATTTATGACATTAGCTTTTAAAAAATGAAAACACAGGATGTCTTTTTATGCTTTCCCCAAATGTCTAATAAATGAACTAGTAATTTTACAAATTCATATATATGAATATATATCATATGTATGTTATAAAGCTTACCACCAACTGGTATGTTATCTGATAGATCTATACCCTGTGATTCTGTGGGCTTGAGCTTCATATCTTCTGGAATAATGTCTATGCTGCTGACATCAATCTTCCCTCCTTTTAAAGACATGGTAGGAGCGTGAAAAGTGAATAATTTGAAAAACTCTACATTATTTTATTGATTATATACTATTATAGTTAGTGAGTATGTACTAATTGTACAATGAAAAGTAAAAAGTTTAATATAGTTCATATACTGTATTATTATTTTTATTCACATTCTGACTACAAAAACTCCAATTTGATCTGCTTAAGAGAATAGATAAAATTAATAGGAGAATTAGAATTAGAATTAGAATCTGTAATGCTGAATATTATTATTGTGTTGCTTCACAATGGAAAATACTTAATGGAGTTGAATAATCTGTCTTTATGAGTTCACATTTTTGTTTCCTGGACTTTTATGTTAATTATTTCCACACTGAATACATTTTAGAAACCAATTTTTATTATTTTTTTATTTTGTCCCATGAAATACCAAAATCTGAAGTAATTCTTTTTAAGTAAAATCTGGAAAATTCCAAGTATTCAGCCTAATGCAAACATAACTCTAGGACAGTAATTGACAAATTGCATATGTGTTTTTTAAAAAGCATAAACAAGGCCAGGTGTGATAGCACATGCCTGTAATCCCAGGATTTGGTAGAGTGAGGGAGGAGGACCTTGGGTTTGAGGCTATCCTGGACTACACAGAAAGTTCAAGGTCAATTTGAACTTCACAGTGAGACCCCCATCTCTAAAACCAAGCAAAATAAATAAATAACAATAAAAAATGTAAATAAGAAAAGGCCTATAGTAAGAAGCAGTACTCACAATCTAATGATATAAATAAAAAAATTAAGTTTTTAGAAAGTTTTTGCCTTTTCATTTTCTTAATTTGATAGATTTTGCTTCACTTAAGAGTCTTTTCTATACTATAATGGCATATATAATAAAAAACATAATTCATGCCAAAACAAGATAATAGTACTAAAGACAGTAGTTCATACACTATGATTATGTAGATTTTTTATAAAAATAAAACAGATTTATTGGATATTTCTCATAGATCATCCTCAAACATAAGTAAAATTTGAGAATATATTATTTTTGGTATGTTTACACTATGTGCCACTTGAAACTATTGTTAGTGGTTCTGTAGCATGTAAATATATACATGAACATTTGTCAAACTTGTACAATATTGAAAAACATGGCATTTACCATTTTCTTCCCTTGCTTTTTCCAACTGGTCTCTCATTCCCCTTTACTCTTCCCCATATTTTTTATTTATATGACACAAGGATTTTTATATAGTCCTTTTTTTTTTCTGAACACTTTGTTGTGCCTGAGACAACTTCTTCTTATGCCAGTGTCCTTGTATAATTTATATTAATTCATAATTTATGGTGTCCCTTTTAACTCTGTCCAAAAGGTAGTAGTTTGGATGATACTTAGACAACCTAAATATAATGCATACTTTCCTAGATAGCAGCAAATATTTATTGATGACTGAATGCATAGCACACCTATTACAAAATAATGAAAAGGAGAAAATAACCTATCAATAATTATACCATCAAGCAATAATTTCTTTCAGTATGGGAAAATGTAGGTAGGGATTATATATA